GAAACCTGAAACACTTCTGGTCCCAAGCACTTTAGATAAGAGACCTGTATGACAGATTGTTACTGTTTCTCCTATGAGGTTGTATGCCACTTGAGAGCAGGTGTAACATATTTATTCAAAATGTATTCTGCAGGTAATGAAACATTCATTGTTGCAAAAGAAAGCTAAGAAAATTCATAAAAAGTGTTTTGAAAGCATTCAATGGATAATTGTCAAAATTTAATACAGTAGTTCTTAAACCCTGACTACACATTAGAATCATTAGAAGATCTGAAAATGTAAATAGAGATTTGAAAACATAAATAAAAACTGATGCCTGGGCTCCGCTACATTCCGCTTAAATCAAAATCTCTGGGGACAAGGTCCAGGCATCTGCTTACAGCTCTCCAGGTGAGTCTAATGGGCATCCAGATTTGTGAACCACTGGTCTAGGAGGTAGCTCACCTCCTGAGCTCTGGACCTATCTGCTTCCTCCCCTCTATTTGTCACGTATCTCCAACGTCTCCTGCATCTACCTGATTTTTCCGAATTTGCTCAAATCACTCCCATCTCAAAAATAATCATCCCTACCTACCACACATGCACCCCTAGTTTCTCCCCTCAGAGACATCTTCCAAAAGATGTCTCCAGTTCCTTACCTCTCGGTCCCTCCTCCACTTACTCCCATCTGGCCTCTCTCCTCCACAAACCTATTGAGATGTTCCTACCAAAGCCCCCACAACAACTCTTTAACAAATCCAATGCAACATCATCTTTTGACTTTCTGCTGCTTTCCATACTGTTGCCTGCTCTAGCTTCTGAAATCTCTGGCCTTCCTTGTAAACCATGGTTCCGCTCCTCCTTGGTCTCCTACTTCTTTTGTTGCTGCTTTCTAGTATCTTCTATCCTTCTCTCCCCTCTCTCTGCTGTCCTTCGGAGAGCTGGTCTTTCCCAGGAGCTCATCCCTTACCATCTTCTCTTCCCCTCTGTAGACTTGTGGGCAAACTCTTCTTCTACACCCTGAGTTTCTGGTACCACCTTTGTGGTGGCACCTCTAGCGTCTACACCTCCTGCTCTGCCTCTTGACCTCCAGGCAAGCATTTGTGATTGCCACTTGACCAACTCTACTGGACGACTACCAAGCAGCTCAAGTTCCACACAACCAAAGCTCACCCCCTCATTCCTCCCCCTACTAGCAAAAGTATCACAAAACATTGCTTCATCTATGTCACTTTACCCAAGCGAGAAATTCTTGATACTGCCTTCTCTTTGTTCATTCATCCTCCCAAATCACCATTCATCCAATCAGTTACCAGTTCAGTTGCTGCCACCTTTTTTTAATTTTTTTGTATCACTTGAATGTTTATGTCATTTCATTCTTATAAGCCATTCAAGTCCAAATCCTCAACATTCAGACAATGGGCCCTGTGGCTCCTTGCCACCAAAGCGCCTGTACTCCAGTTTAGACCCCACACTATGCTAAAGTTATATTTATAAATCTTAAATCCCATCATAACTCTTTCTACTTTAAAACACCCTTAGAATAGTGCTATTTGTGTCCCCCTGTGTATCCTTCTAACATCCTTCCATGCCACCTCCTTTTCTTGCATTCTACATTCTAGTCATACTTAAGAACTTGGCAGGACTCAAATTTATGCCATTCAATCGCTTGCCTCTGGGCCTTTGAACCTGCTGCTCCCTCTACTTGAAGTGTCCTTCTGCCTACTCTTGCCTGGCTCACCCTGCTCATCCTTCATGACTCAATTCAGCTGAGACATTACCTCATATCTCTAACCCCAGCCCCAGTCTGGTTAGGTGCCCCTCCTCTGTGCCTCCTGGGCGTCCTTGGTGGACTTCAATCTTCACACCACTCACCTTACATTGTAACTGTCTGTTAATTTGTCACCTTCTCCCCACCCACTCCAGGGTAGAAGGCCAGTTCTTATTCCTCTGGCATCCCAGAGCTTAGCATAGTATTATCAGACCCACAGCAAATGCTCATGCAATGCTTTTTGATGAATGAATAAATGAACTGAAGTGAAATAAAAGAAAGAAACCAAGAGCCAAAATGTCCCATATAAACAGATTACCTCATCCAGAAACCAGCTTCAAGCACTGACCCATCTTGTCAAGAGCATCAGTATCGGCTGTGGTTTGAATGTGACCCCACAGTGCATACGCTGGAAGCTCCGTCCCCATGCAACAGTGTTGAGAGACGGGTCTAACAGAAGGTGATTCGGTCTTGAGGGCAGAGCCCTCACAAATGGATGGCCATGCAGAGTGGGCTAGTTATGGAGGGAGAGGATTAGCTATTGAGAAAGTGGGCTTGTTGTAAAGGTGCATTTGCCTCCTTTCTCTCATTCTCTCTTGTCCTTCCATCTTCCACTGTGTTGTGATGCAGCAAGAAGCCCTCACCAGATGCTGAGCAGGGGTCAGGGCCATGACCTTGGACTTCCCAGCCTTCAGTTTCATGAACCAATGAACTTCTTTTCTTTATAAATCACCCAGTCTGTGATATTCTGTTATAGCAACATAAAGCAGGCTAAGATAATACCCTTGCCCTTGGCCCTGGAGTAACTAACTCCAAAGACAGGAACGATTTCCTGCGGTCTATCTCTACCACAACTTTTAGACCATTCTCATTTTCCATTTTCACTTCAAGGCCCTCATAGAGGCCCCGTGACTCCCTACTGAGTCATTTCTACAGCATCCTGGAGAGCAGGTGTCTCCAATCTGCATCTCTCTCCCTCCTGCTCATCTTCTCTCCATGGAGCTGCACAAGGGGTCTTTGCTGAACATAGTCTTGTTTTCATTGCTCCTCTCCTGCTCTACTCCTGGCATCTGTACATCCTGGCTCCACCTCTGTCCTTGGGATTATGTCAAGTTGAATGGTCTCAAGGGAGCAGGTGGATCCAAGAACCTGTTCTTATTTTCTCCCAAATGCCACTCCAGGTTCATCTCAAGCAGCAAAACACACTCTCACACCAACTCAATGCTCTGGTGGGCTTTTGCTTTAGAATCCTCTCTTTATTCAAACTATTCCTATTTGCTGATGACATATGTTAGAAGACCCAAAATATGCCACCAGAGAACTTCTAGAACTCATAGATGCTTTCAGCAAAGCAGCAGGATATAAATTAACACCCATGAATCAATCATATTCCTATACATCCATGATGAATCAATTGAAAGAGAAATTAGAAAAACTGTCCCATTCACAATGGCCTCCGAGAAAATAAAACATTTGGGAATCAATCTAACAAAAGAGGTGAAAGACCTCTACACTGAAAACCTCAGAATACTAAAGAAAGAAATTGAAGAAGATGTTAGAAGATAGGAAGATATCCCATGTTTTTGGATAGGCAGAATTAATATTGTCAAAATAGCCATAGTACCAAAAGCGCTATACAGATTTAATGCAATTCCCAATAAAATTCCAATTACATTCTTCATAGAAAGAGAAAAAGCAGTCATGAAATTCATTTGGAAAAACAAGAGGTCTAGAATAGCCAAAGCAACCCTTAGTGAGAAAAGTGAAGCAGGAGGCATCACAATATCAGACATTAAATTATACTACAGAACTATAGTAACAAAAACAGCATGGTACTTACTGCCACTAAAGCAGACATGAAGACCAATGGTATAGAATAGAAGACACCGAGACAAATCCACATAAATGCAGTTATCTCACACTAGAAAAAGGCTCCATAAACATACATTGGAGAAAAGATAGCCTCTTCAACAAATGGTGCTGGGGAAACTGGACCCTTATGTAATAAAATGAAATTAGACCCCTATCTCTCACTCTGCACAAAACTCAACTCAAAGTGGATCAAGGACCTACACATTAGACCAGCGCCCCTGTGCCTACTAGAAGAAAAAGTAGGCCCAAATCTCCATTGATTTCCTTCTTCCTAAAGTGCAAGAAATAAAACCAAGAATCAATAAATGGGATCAAACTAAAAATCTTCTTCACAGCCAAGGAAACAATCAAGAACATGAAGAGAGAGCCTACAAAACGGGAGAAAATCTTTGTCTCCTGCACCTCAGATGGAGCATTGATCTCCAGGATATACAAAGAACTCAAAAATTTAACATAGCTTGTTAGCTATCCTTAACTACCCTTTGAGGGGTGATTTTTCTGCCCTTGGTGTTTTCACACACATGGCCTTATTTAAATCTTCCTCAGTCCTTTGAAGTTGGTGGCACTCTTATTTTTATTTACAGAAGTGGAAAAATAAAGCTCTGAAAAATTCACAATTAACTGAAGGATATTGGTGTAATAACTTACAGAATGGGGATTCTCACCCTGCTCAGTTTGACTCCATGGTACAAGGTCTAACTGGATAATACCAGATGAGAAACACTAAGTAATGTCACTTATCATAAACACCGAAGACTAGATTATGATTACTTTATAAATGTGGAGTTAATGTACAATAAATGTAAATCTTACCACTGAAAAAAGGAAAATTATATTTTTAGTTGTTAGATTTAAAACACCTGAACTGTTCATACCATGTGGAAAGTCAATGTTGCTCTTAGCCAGATGAGAGGTATTGGGTGGGCCTCCCGGGAGCCAACGGTTCCCAGCCTGTCTTTTCCTGTTTATATGCCAGCAAATTGGCATGAGGGTTCAAGGGTGAAGAGTATAGAGGAGTTGGGGCCATGAGTTGGGTCCAAATGATTTAACTGTCATCACTTTAAGATCTCTCCTCCCAAGGGGAGCCCCTTGTTATATTGCAACTTAAGATAACCTTTGGAATTTTTAGACGAATACCACACAATTCCACAAAACTTCACATTTCTGTCCTTGAATGTCTTGCAACTATAGCTTCAGACTTGCATCAAACTGTAGAAGATGTGGAATGTGCTCTTTTTCAAATTAAAAACAAAAACAGTGTTTTATTGCCTTGTAGAAGTTTGAGAACAACTCCTGATGTTTATGTCTTTTGCACTTTATTTCCACACAAGATGGTGAGAAATAGAGTGAGAGAAATTGTCCTGGACCAGAGACCAGATGAATTCAACTGTCTCTCCTGGCACATTCCCCCACTTCTTCTTCTTTTTTTTTTTTTGAAAATTGGGTACTTTGCTGCAAAATAACCGTGCTTTGTGTTTATCTACACATTTCTGAAATTCAGAACCAAACTTGCCTCTTTTGTCTTTCCAACACCCCTTGTAGGTATTGTTTAATCAGTGGATTTGCTTCTGGGGAAGACAATCGAGGCAAGTCATTTCACTGAGCCCAAGGAGGAAGTTCGAGCAACTTTGAAGCAGGTGAGCGATTCCCCGGGATTCTTGCCTTTGTCACAGGTTGCCATAACAACAAGTTTTCATCTCATAATTGGTATAATTGTAATAGCTCAAATTTATGTAGCCTTTTGAAATTCATAAGATTTTGGCACATCATTGCCTCTTTTAATCCTAATGAGAGCCCTAAGAGGTCAATCCTGTACTCCCCAATTCACAAATGAAGAAACCAGATCCAAACAGTTTATAAAACTGTCCTTAGGGGCAACAGTGAGTCTACTTTACATCCTAAGACATACCACAACTTCATCTGTTTCCTAAGCCCGACGTCAAGATATAGTATATTTAACTCTCAGGCTAGCCTGTTTTTCCAAAGTTCAAGTTCAACTGTCTTTTCCCTCTAGTCACAGTCTGACCTGGATGACTTGTCATCCTCTAGTATTCATTACTCTTGACTTGAAATTCTTATATTTGGTTTGGATGTGGCCACTTGGAGACTCCCTGTGTTCCTTTCTTCCAGGTGTTGCCATGTGACTAGATTCTGACCAATATTTTGAAAGTGAAAATGCTGAGGTCAATTTCTGAATTATCCCTTAAAAGGATATTGGCTAGAATGTAGATGTGATCGTGAGCCATTTGGGACCTTGGGGACAAGGTCACAAGGAGTTGGCAAAACAATGGATGGAAAGAGCCTTAGGCACAGGGAAGCCACCAGGGGAGCCCTAATAATATCCAAAGGGTCCCAGGAGGGAAACACAAGGCATATCCTGTTAAAATTACGATTACTTTAAGTTTGAGGACTGCAAGACTTGTATCCTCACTACCCAATCTGGGTAGTCACATAGAAATCCCCCGAAACGTGAATATTCCTTACCAAATACCTTTCACTCTGCATTGATGAAACCACATTGAAAGGCTCTGAACTTGTCTCTTACCCTGAGTTTGGACCTCAATGTTATGTACTTATATGCTACTATTTTCTCCTATAGCTGAAAACCTAGATCATTTGGCTTCATAAATGAAGCAAAGGTTGTCCTACCCACTAGTCCAATGAGCACAGCTGAGAGGAGTCAGGAAGTGAGTAGAAACTGAACTAGAAGCCAGGAGATCCAGGTTCTGCTGGGCGGCAATGGGAATGCCATTTATCCTCTCTGGGGAAATGGTTCAACATCAAAATTGTTCAATTCTTCTTATGTAAGCTTCATTGATAAATAGTAAACATGAATTCAACTTCACAGTAACTCTACAAGTCAAGGTTTTCTTAGAGGCTGTTGAGAATCCACTCAATGGAAGACACCAGAGAAATAGAAAAGTGACATCTTCCTGGAGTCCTTTCTCCAGCAGCTCTGAGGAAGCCTATGCAGAGCAGAGAGGGAAGGACTTGTAGGGATTTCTGTTTTCTCAAGTACCTACAGGAAATCAGAGAGCATTTTCCAGGGCTTTGCTGCAGGAGAAGTGTTAGATTTGAGGGCTGGAAAAATTTCCCTCTGTCCTGAGAATTGCAGGAAGTTAGCATCCCTGGTGCTTGTCCACTAAAATGCCCACACATATTCCATACCACCCCCCCACACACACATTTGCAAAATATCTCCAGTCAGGAACCATTGCTAATCCATCCTGCCATTTTATAGTCTCAAAAAGAGATTCAGAGGAGCTCAGTGACCTTGGACAAGGTCACTCTTGCTCTAACGACAAAGCAGGGACTAGATGCAATGTCTTCTGATTCCTGGATAAGTTTTTTCTCTCTAACCTTGGATAGACCCAAACAGAATCACTGTTCTGGGTCAACAAGACCAACAGGTAACAGAGCAGAGGGATGGTGCCTCTACCTTGGGTGAACGAGACAATCTACTTAGATGCCAGGAGAAAACAGAAGAACTTTCTATTTCTATTCTATCTCCTCCTTTAAAAAATTCTGTGGGTTTTAAAAATGTACATAATATATTAGTACAGTGGTATATGTATAATTTATAAATACATAAATATACATACACTGATGCATGTTCAAATATTTTTTTTAACTGATGGTATGCATGATCAAAAAGTGTGGAAACCACCAGTCTCAACATCCTTTTCTGTTTCTAACTCTAAAATATTATGAAATGATCTGATTTGTTTTACTATTTTGTTTTCCAGGATGACATCTATAAGCTATTCTTCTAAGACAAAAGATACAGAGGGTGTGAAATACTAACCAAATTGGAAGCCTCTAGAAGGCAGATTATCCAACAATGCATCAGAATTCCACATTAAAAACCAAGTTATTTTGCTCAATTTATCATTTTAATCAGATCAACCATTTGTCAATCCAATCCCCTGTTTGGCATTTAATCTGGAAAAATCAAATCAACCATTTTTAGATGCTGGGTCCTGCCTTATGGAAAAGACAATCTGGATTTGTTGGAGTAAAGAAAGGAGAGGTTAAGGGAAGGAAGAGTGCCTCCAGGGTGCGGATCACTAGTTTTAACATTTTCTCTCTTTTTCAATCAGTTTCACCTAGGCTTGAAACAGAGCTTAAATTACTTCAACCTTTAAAGATGCTTCTCTTAACCTTAGTCTGCCATGTGAGGTGAAGCAGCACACACAAGGATAAAAGCAGTTCCTCTCTAAAAGATTAAAAATATACCTAGTGCACTCAGAAGTTCCTGCTAGCCCAAGAGACGCACTCTCCACTGCCTTAATCAGTGTGAGGGGTTGCAGCAAAATTCAACATTTTAATGAAATTCCCACCAAATTCTGCACTGGGGCAGGATTTCCTAAAACACACTTACAAAAATTGCCTGTTGATCAGGTTGTACCTGGAGAACAACAACAAAGAGAGAGAGAGGGGGTGGGGGAAAGAGTGAGAAAACACTATCAGGACTGAAATGAACCCACAGCACCTGCCCCTTCTCTTTAGCTATAGCCAGGGTAGCAAACACACATCTATGCAATGTGAATTTTATCAAGCACTTATCTAGTTCTTATTCTATGCCTGGTACTATGCTGAGGGATTTACATCCATCACCTCTTTTAACACAACATCTGTATTCTAAGGATGGTAGGATATAGTACAGAGGTTCCCGAACCTTCTGTGTTCATGGCACACTTAGTTTCTAACATAACACTTTTATAGCATCTCTAGACCAAAAGAAATGCCCCTAACAATTCCATTTGTTAAGTAGTTTTAGCCAAACAACTTGTTAGTACAGTAGTTCACACAGACATTGCTGTTTTCCTTGAAAATTTTAAATATTGCAATGACCTTGTGAGCTTGCTACAGAGCCCCAGGGCTCCTTGAAGCACAGCTTGGGAACCACAGATCCACCACCTGTGGCACAGATACTATCAGAGTCCCTATTTTGTTGATGGGAAATGGGCCCAGAAAGGTTACCCAGCTGGTTGGATGTAATATGGGAATCTGAAAGCACACAGAAACCCAGAGCCACTCTGCTGTCAGGCTGTCCTCTCTCCCTGACTTACTGTACTACATCCAGTTACCACCTCCTCTCTCCATGCTGTATACATGCAACTCCCCCCACCCCAACCAAACACACATGCACACAGGCATATGCACACACGCACACTCATTCCTGGGCTTCAAACCATTCCCTTCCATTGGGATGCCCCTCCCTCGCACCTGATTTTCTAGAAAGTTCCTTGCTTCTATTTCCAGCCCTAAGTTAACTCTGGACTGCTTGGTCCTACACTCATCTTTTCTTCTTTAGGAAGGAAAAGACTGTAAGTGCCATGTTAGTGACAGTTGATATGTCTTACATTGTTCTCTAATTGCATTATTGGTATGAATGTGGTTTTTCCAATAAGACTAAATGTTTTCCCCAAAATAGGGATGGTGAATTATCTCATGCTAGACATGTAGAAACCACTGTGCCAGTTTGTTGAAATCAGCAAGATGATAAATGCTAGAATTTCACAGCATATGCTAATGACTGGATGTAAATAACAGAGAATATATTTAACATAAATGTCATCAGGAATGGTAACTAACATCTGTAAGGCCTTTTTACACTTTAGGAAAGACTTTTTGCATATATGATTTTATTTGTTTTTTGCAACAGTCTGTATTATCTCCTTTCATGGGAGAAAGTGGAAGCTTAGGCAGGTTAAGTGGCTTTGGCCAAACTTGCAACATGTTAAGTAGAAAAAGCAGATCTGGAAACCCACTGTATTGGTCTCCTTCCTGGCCCTATTTTCTCACTTCCCTGCAGTCTCTTTCACAGAGATGTCAATTTTCAGCCCAGATCCCATACGATAGACAGGCTTTCAATTTCAGAAGTACTGTCCCAACTTCATGGCATCCCTAGCTCTGCACTCTCAATACCTCCACTGAGATGCTGTGACTCCACAGGACATAAGGCTGGGCTGGCTATGGGCACTTCCAGGGAAAATGCTGACCCTTTGGTTGAGGTCAGTGGATCTGTGGAAAGTTCCAGAGCTGTCAAGAGGACAGGGAACCTCAAGTTTGTGGTTTCCTAGACAACCCAATCTCCCCTGTTATGGTAGTGTGGACCACAAAGGCTGGGGCTGTCAGCTTCTGAGGCTAACAAGGACTGCTTAACAAAAGTCTAGATCAAGATTAAAAGCATGCCATAAAAATACAAGCAAGCTGGAAGTGTGCATCCATTCTTTATGGGTCACTAGCTAGTTCTGGAGTTCAGACATATCAGCCTTGGGTTTACAGTAGATGCTATTTCTTACTAATATATGACTTGAGGACATTGTTTCACCTCTCTGAGTCTCAGCATTCCTGTTAGTAAGATGAGATCATAGGATAGTCATGAAGATTAAATGGAAAAACAAATGTAAAGCATGAGAGGATAGAGCCTGGTGGGTGACAGACACTAAATAAGTAATAGCCACTTATCAAAGATGACAAATAGTTTTCAAACTGGGCTGCACCTAGCAGGCACTTATTAAATAGGACAGACAAACACTGCCTCTGCTGCCTCCACCACCATTAGAATGGTGTTACGGGCACTGCTGTAACTCCTTGTACAGCCCCTCAAAGACTCCAGCTGAGAGGTTATAGTAGCAGAATAAGGAAGGAAGAGAGTGAAAGAAAAGAAACCAGAAGATGCCTAAGGCAAGACGTTACCCAGAGGGACCTTAAAGGGAAACAAAAGAAACAGAGGAAGAGCTGACAATTGATGCTGAGCTTGACAAGGAAAATAAACAACTTAGACCATTTGAATATACATTTCAAATTACATCGTTTTCTTCTGCATTGTGTCTCCAGGCAGTTGGGAAGATACAAATGTGTTATATTTATTTCTAAAGCTTTATTGAAATTGCAACAAAATAAAAATCAAAATTGAACTTTATGAAGAAAACAGGGGGGAAAATAGCCATAAGGTCACTGTTTCCTCTCATGACAAAATGGGGTTGAGTCCTGCATTTGCACCAGGATTCTTTTATCAAATGCCTGCCTTTCTAGAAAGATAGATGGCAGATCTCAGAAGCAAGGTACACAAAGACGTTTGGAAATTCTAAAGGACTGTGCAGACATTCATTATGATTATTACATGGATGGCAGCTCACGTAGTAACTTAGAAATCTTTCTGACTCTCCCCTCAATGACAAGGCCCAGGTGTTCTGAGGGGCTACCAGCATGGACATACTCACAGCAACTGGGGTATCCTGGCTGAGAGGCACACTGTGTGACCGCTCCTGCAGGGACTTATCTGCATCGACTTCAGAGTAAAAGACCTTGAAAAGACACAGACACCTGGTAAGAACAGAGTCCCTACTTCTCCAAGATCAAAGGTTTGAATTGCTCACAAAGGAAGCAGGTTCTGAGGTGCATCAGGCCACCCCACTAGTTACTAGTTCTGTGGGAATGAACATCAGACATACCTGGTGGGGTTGCAAATTCAGAAGCCTGCAGAGGCTGGGAGGAAGACAACGTATCTGTGAAGAGGGAGTGGGGGCTGGACCCTGCTCCTCTCCTATTTCCCCAAACCATGACCCTATCAGGTAATCTTGCAACTTCCCATATTTGATATGCCATGAGTTCAGAAATATGTTTCTCTAAGAAGACCAGAGGACGAGGTCATGATGAATATTTGCTGATGGTGAACTGGAGTCTGTAGGGACTGGTCAGACTTGAGGGCTTTCATCCCATCTCAGATGGGTCCTTCATCTCCAGTGGGCTTGGTGTCCCATAGGAATATGGGATCAGTGTGTCCAACTGTCTGGATGTCTCAGAGATTTCAGAACTCCAAATATTTATCTGAAATACCCTGACTTCTAAAACTTGGTTTATTTTTAATACTACTACTTAACAAAAACATTTTGGAGAACCGAAATCTGCCCAATTTTCAGCCTCTAATTGTAGGGTACCTTCTATGCTCCCTCCTCCACTTTGCCTGACCATATCTTTAATTCAGTTCATACATTTGTTTGTACTTATTGATAACATTCCACAGTGACTCCCTATGATTTCTCAGGTTTCTGTATTATTCTCCCAATGATATTAGGCAACTGGATAGCAGAAACCATATCTTCTACTTGCTTTATATTTTTCCATTGCTGCACAGAGAAAGAACTGGATAGATCCTGATTAATGCAGAGGTCATTCTCAGGGGTCTTAGAAATGCCCTTGAAATATTTCTTATAGTTTCACCAGAAGAGAATGAGGCGGTTATTAATATGAGAGGGCTGGTAGTAAGGAGGCCATAGACAGGTTGAGCACCCTTAATCCACAAATCTGAAATCTGAAATGCTTCAAAATCTGAAACTTTTTGTGCCTGATGTGACATCAAAAGTAGATAATTTCACATCTTACTTCATGTGATGGATCACAGTCAAAATGCAAGTCCACTAAAAATATTACCTTCAGACTATGTGCATAAGGTGTATGTAAAACAAATGAATTGTGTATTCAGACTTGGGTCCCATCCCCATAACATCTTATTATGTATATGTAAATACTCCAAAATATGAAAAGAGTCAGAAATCCAAAACAATTCTGATCCCAAGCATTTTGAATAAGGCATACTCAACCTGTTCAGGAGGTACAAAGATAGGGAGCATGTACAGTCACCCCAACATGCCCACTGCAGAAATCCCCACATGTACTCACAGTGTATCCAGTGACTGGGCTTCCAGGATGCTGTGGCATTTTCCACTGGATGCTGAAAGCTGTGCAGTTCAGGGCACCCAGCTTGACGTCAAGAGGAGGCCCCACCTTGCCTGCCCCCAAACAAAGAAATTATGTTAAAAGATCAATGCATCTTACCATCAGCATATTTACACAAGATTTAAGAGTGTGTACTCACAAAAAAAAAACAAAAAAACACATGCTTAAAGACGGCTCCACAGGCCAGAAATGCAGTCATCCCTCTGATGTGCCACCCCTTTCTCAGTTGACCTCACAAAATTTTTGCTATCCCCTCCCAACCTGTCACTGGTAGAGAAATCAGCCCCACTATTGACCTTGGTCCATTCCATAAGTTCTAATAGTAAAGGGCCAGAAAGCAAGATTTTGTTTGTTGTAGACCAGACATACATGACTTGACTCTAGGCATTTGAAATGGATTCAAGAAAGACAATGAATTTTCATTTACCCATTATATATTATAATATATAATATATAATAATTATAATATATAATTATAATTGAACTAATGAAGAACCAAAAAAATCACTGAAGATTAAATTCCTGAGTAGTGAAAGTTGTAGGTGTTGGGGGCAGGAGAGAGCTGTCTCTGGTTCTGCATTAGTCTGCTTATATAGCTAGAGTTTTATTATAATGAAACATTTTAAAAATATGGTTAAGTATAAAATAAGATTTACATTTTTTAAACATTTTACTGTCTACTTGTCTTAAACCATTTTATAATTATAAACTCTAAAGCAACATGCAAATTGTCATAATTTAGAAAATGCAAAAAGATCATATCATTCTGAGATGAGTCCTATTGGCATTTTGGTATGTCTCCTTTGGATTACATACCACATTTTAAAAAGTTGTTTGATTCTCTGTGTGTTTTTTATTGCTTTGAATTGTTGTAACTATAATGTAGTAATTATGTACTTATACATATATGCTCATAGTTTTAAATTTTATTTCACTTAATCTACAGTCATTAAAATCATTATGTTTAGTGGCCATAAATGCTTCCCTGAAATGCATGTGCCATAATTAAGAGAACTTGGCATTCTGCTGTTGTCAAACAATATATCTCTCATGTTTTTCCATTTAAAATAATGTCCATGAGGGCAGGTCAGCCTTGATCAGTATACAGAGACTAGTAAGCAATAGGGCTCAATGAACATTCCTTAAATGAGTGAATGTTCTGCACTGCGATTTTCCACTTACTAATGTGTTGTTGTGCTTTTTTTTTTTAATGACAACAAACAATTCTCCTGCATATCAATTAGGATACTTTGCAATTCACAGAGATCCAATATATCTATTTATTGCACTAGGGCAAATTTGTTACCAGGGATGCTCACCAATGTTTTTTTCTTTATTACACTGGAGTGTTTTTATTACTCAAATTTATTTTAATGATTCAAAAAAGCAGAGGAAATTTCTCAATTAACCCCACATATTATGTGGCATTAACTTGATATTGCATACATTTTATAAAAGTCTCCAGATATACCTCAGATTTTTCTGATTATTTACTGAGTAACTAAGTAATCAGTTGTCTCACCAACGTTTTTAATAAATCAAACCCAAAGTCCTCTGGTAGACCAAGTAATAGAGGCTCAATTCTGTCACTTAGTAGAAACTGTGAGACCAGGAGACAGCTCTCTCCTGCCCCCCACACCTACAACTTTCACTACTTCAGTGAGCTTTCTGGTTCTGAATTAGCTCAAGATTTAAAGTCCCATAAGATTGGCTAAACTCAGACCATGTGCTTCCTCTTGGCTCAACCAAGGGTCTGGAGAGGAAGGATCAGTCCTTTCTGGTTTCCTAACTAGAAAATGACTTCCTAGGGGAATCCTGGGCGATGTTCTTATACTACCCTATCCACAGAAAAGACGACATCCAAAAGGAAGATAAGATCATAGGAAAAGAGTCATGGAAGGTCTTATGTCCCCAAATTCTCTTATATAGAGCATGCATGTACATTTAGAATATTGGCATATTCCTTTTTGCACACATGTTCAAATATTTCTAAGATAAATACCTATGAAAACATAATGAGATACATATATCTCAATTTTTACTAACCACTGATATTGCTCTCCCAAAAAAAGATTGAATAAATTTTTAAGTATGTTCTGTCATTCAATTGGGGTAAATTCTTAAAGCAAAATTTCTGTGTCTAAGACAGTTTCTTAACCTTGGCACTACTGACATTTTTAAAGTATACTCAAAGGACTTAAAAACAGCATACTACAGGGACACAGTTTAATGTTTATAGCAGCACAATTCACAACTAGCTAAACTGTGGAACCAACCTAGATGCCCTTCAGTAGATGAATGGATAAAAAAAATTGTGGCATATATATACAATGGAATATTACTCAGAAATAAGAGTATAAAATCATAGCATTTGCAGGTAAATGGATGGCGTTGAAGAAGAAAATGCTAAGTGAAATAAGCCAATTCCCCCCACCCCCGAAAAAATGCCAAATGTTTTCTCTGATATAAGGAGGCTGATTCATAGTGGGGTAGGGAGGGGGAGCATGGGAAGAATAGACGAACTCTAGATAGGACAGAGGGGTGGAAGGGGAAGGGAGGGGGCAGGGAGTTAGAAATGATGGTGGAATGTGATGGACATCATTATCCAAAGTACAGGTATGAAGACACAAATTGGTGTGAATATACTTTATATACAACCAGAGATATGAAAAATTGTGCTGTATATGTGTAATAAGAATTGTAATGCATTTTACTGTCATTTATTTTTAAAAAATCAATTAAAATATTTTTAGTTATAGATGGACAAAATAACTTTATTATTTATCTATTTTTATGTGGTGCTGAGGATTGAACCCAGTTCCTCACACGTGCTAGGCAAGTGCTCTACCACTAAGCCACAACCCCAGCCCCACTATTGACAGTTGGATGGTTTATGTAGGGTATGTATGATTACATCAAAGGGTGTTTGACAGCATCCCTGGTCTCTCCCCAACCCAGCTGTGAAAACCATGATATCCCAACATTGTCAAATGACCCTGGGTTGGGGCACAAAACTGACCTCCCCCACCTATTGACAACTGATGATTTAAGAGAATGAATACATTAGAGAATTTTAAAAAATATAATCAAACTTATATCTAGAAAATGAACTAATTTGGAAGCTTATGTTATTGTATGGGGAAACCTCATATAAATAATACAGGTAATAAAGTGAGTAACCCCCTTAAAATTTTCAGCTCTGCAAAACACACTGTCAAGAGAATAAAATGACAAGCCACATATTGGAAAAAATATTCACAAAAGACTTATCTAATAAAGAATTGTTAGTAAAATATACAAATGCTGTAGGCTGCATATTTGTGTCCTCCCAAAATTCTTATGTTGAATACAATCCCCATTGTGATATCACTGGGAGATGGGCCTCTTCAGGGGGATTAGGTCATAAGGAGAAACCCTTGTGAATGGGATTAATGTGCTTATAAAAGAGTCCTCACACTGTGTCCCTTCCTCTTTTCCTATGAAAACACAGCAAATGGACCAAGGAGTAGGTCTTTACCAGATAGTGACTGTCAGTCCCTTGTTCTTGTACTTTGCATACTCCAGAACTATAAGAGACAAATTTCTGCTGTTCGTAAGCCACTCAGTTCATGGTATTTTGTTATAACAACTGAACAAACTAAGACAGTAAAGAACTCTTACAACTCAACAATAAGAAAACAACCCAATTAAAAACTGGACCATAAAACCTTATCAAAGAAGATCTGCAGATGGCAAATAAGCATATCACATAATCAAATGTCATCCAGGAAATGTAAATAAAAACAATGAGATATCACTGAGTATTTATTCAAATAGTCAAAATCCAGAACACTGACAACATCAAATACTGGCAAGTAGGTGAAGTTACAGGAACACTGCTGGTGGGAATGTTGAATGGTTCCATCAGTTTGCAAGACAATTTGGTGTTTGTTTTTTTTTTTTATAAAACTAATCATATTCTTGTATTATCCAGCATTGGCATTCCTTGGTACATAAAGAAGTCAAAAACTTATCTTTACACAAAACTCTGCAAAATGGACATTTATTGTGGTTCTATTCATATATGTTAACACTTGGAAGTAACCAAGATATCCTTTAGTAACCAAAATTCACCTTTAGTAGGTGAGTGGATAAATAAACTACGGTACATGCAGACGATGGACTATTATTCAGCACTTAAAAGAAATTAAGCCATGAAAAGACATGGAGGAGACTTAAATGCATATTACTAACTGAAAGAAATCAATCTGAAAAAGGCCACATATTGTGTGATTCTAACTATATGACGTTCTGGAAAAGGCAAAACAATAAAGACAGTAAGATCAGAGGTTTCAACAGATTAGGGATTGCAGAGAAGGAAGGATAAAAAGTGAAGCTCAGAGGAATTTTATGGCAATAAAACTATTTTACTCTAATGATGGATACAAGTCCTGTTCATTTGTTACACCCATAGTGTATACAACACCAAATATGAAATCTCTAACTACTGACTTTAAGCGAAGTTCATAATTAAATTATAACAAAAGTGCCACTCTGGTGGGGGATGTTCATAATGGGGACATCTGTGCATGTGTAGAGGTAGGAGTATATGGAAAATCTCTGTGCCTTCCTCTTAATTTTGCTATGAAACTAAAAGTGCTCTAAAATAGGAAGTCTTACAAAACTTGGAAAATCTGATTTTGAAAGTTGAATATTTTCATATGAATTTGCCTACTTTTCTTCCTCTATTTATGTGTTTTGCACTTTTTCAATTGGGTTGTTAATTTTTTCTCGTTGGTTTATAGGAACCCTTTCCACATTGAAGGTCTGAAACTTTCTCTTCGGTTTTTTTCCAGGTAGCTTTATGCTTCGATCTGACTGCATAACTACCCAATGCTGGTCAGCTTTGTTATTGAGTTAAGAACTCTGTGCTAATGTAACCATAAAGATGGCTGAAAAGTGGGAAGAAAGACAGTGGAAATAAATTATCAGTCCCTCACAGAAGCATAAAATAACTAGCAAGCCCAGCCATATCCATAGTCCTAGGAACAGCACTTGCTCCCCTTGCTCTGGG